ATTGAGGTCAGTGCGCAGTGTACATAGCGAGTGTATAGTCGAGAGAGAAAGAGTGACGGTGGATACACTGAGAGCAGACAGCTGTTGGCAATCGAAGCAGAGAGGAAATTAGCAGTAAAGTTGTCAAGCGGTAGTAAATGTACATTGTACGTTTCAGTTTGTCCATGAATTAAAACCACAGTTCCTCAAGACCCCAGTCAAGTCCCTGTGTTTTGCTTTCAAACTGTTGGGTAAAGTGAAGCTGGTTAGCATCATCTCAGCCCTGACTCACCACCTGCCATATAAAGCATCGAAGGTGGCTTCACATATAGGAGGGGCTTTGAGTTTGACCGTGACCTAGACCTGACCTACCAGTGAACAATCTTCTGTTTGTTTTTTGTCAGAGAATCATTTTCAATTTTGGCTATGGGGTAGCTAATGAAATTAAGATGGTGCAGCAATGGGTAATTGTTAGATGAAAAGTCACTGGCAGGCTGCTCACATCCAAATTCACTGTGCTCTGTTGTGTGGAAAACTACTTGCGTGGGGTGCAGCATGAAATCAGATCACACTTGCAATTATTTTTGGCAGAGTTTTTTATGAAAACATGAGTTGGCTGCTCTGTAAACAGACATACCCCTTGTACCTGCTCAACTAGTGTTTGTTGTTCTATTAAACTGCACTTACTGTTACCACAATAAACTAAGATGTCACCAAACAAAGCTGACGTCACCTTGTGACAGATTTTTCTATATGGTCATCTGCTCCAGGCACGCTATTGCAAGTGTTTACATCATGCAGCCTCCACTGCTACATGTAGCTATATGCAATCATCAATGAAACATGCAATCTTGGTTGCTGATGTTGGATATTTCTCCCTGATTTGGGATTATATTTTGGTTAAGAAGCTTTTACTGATGTTTTTTTACAGTAGAAAGTGCTGCTGTATTACTCTGTTACAGACATTCTCCCTGCTGCAATGACAGGTCAGAGACTGTGCAGATGTGGAAGACCCGAAAATGCTGACCAATCAGAACAGACTGGGCTTTTTCAGGAGGGGGTTTATAGAGACAGCTGCTAAAATGGAGCATCTCAGACAGCCGGTAAATACAGGTGTCCCTGCACAGACGGTATGAAAATCAAGTGTTTTCAACACTGAAGTGTGTAAACATGTTCTAGTAGAAACCCAAAATGCAAGTATGAACCTGAAAATCAGCATAAAGCATCCATCATTAATCTATCCATTACAGAAATAACCATAACATTCTCCTAGATTAGATATACTTCTATGTTCATGTCAACTACAGAGACAACGTGCCCTGATGACACTGTAACCGATCCTCTACAAAGAGATTTTCTTATCAAAACCAGAGTGCAAGAGGCCCCATCCTAAACATGCACACCAAACAATCCTCTTATTCTTGAACAGTCCTGACATTCTCCTCTTCCCCAACATCTCACAAGGCTTTCTGAGACTTGCCAAGGCTCTGGGCTGTATCCAAGGGCTGCCCCTCTGAGAGGAGAGGATGATACGCAGTGAGCCAAACTCTGTTTTGAGGGATGACTGCTGCTGTTTCAGAGCACCCTTCTAGTCTAATTTGACAACAACTATATTATTATCCTTAATTCAAGGATTAGATCAATGGCGGGGGTATTTAGCTTGTCTCATGTTGACATATTCTGGCATGCTTCTATGCAAATACATGTAATAAACTAAAATCCTCCTCAATCACCATAACTCTCTGCAATAAAAGTCAAAATTGTTACCCTTGGCAGAAACAAATGTGCTCTTATTTGTTGTGTACATCAGCAAATAAAAACGCTGCCCTCCTCTCCGACCAATCGCTCCATCACAAGGCTTTTAGATTGCTCTGATACAGAGTTGTCAAAGTGGGTTTGGTGCCTCTCTATTCCCTGTGTCTCAGATTTTAATCTGTAAAATCTCAAAACAATCTAGATCCCCCTAACTGCATGTCCTACACCTTATCTTCCACCTCTATCTTTTTTTTGTCCCTGCGACCTCCTTGCTTTCTCTCCTGTTACCCACTGAGACAGCGTTCTTAAATTTACTGAAATTCATCTGCTTATTCAAGTGTCCAACGTCAAGCTGAGGAGCAAACAACTTCAACTTGTGTTGATTGATTGAGGACATGATCTTTGCCACATAACCACTCAAGGAAGAAATGACTTCTTGGTATTTGTCTGAGCTCTTGTTTGTTTTGCTCCAGATTACAAGTAAAGTGAAATAGCACCGACGTCGTTATCCTCTCTTTCTCTGTTGAACAACTCACCGCAGAGGAAAAAGAATGTTATCTTTTTCTGATTCAGTTTTTGTTTTTTCCATTTTGTTAAATGTCAAAGATTTATTTCCATTTAGATTGAACTTTTTTGCTTTACTCTCGGGAGATGTGTGACACCTGGAGTGCCCACCGCGCTGATGATGACTGCATGGCATTCGCTGTTTGATAGCACAGGGTCAACCTAACTTCACACACTTGGCCCGACGCTAAGGTCACTGCACCCCCTGAGGCCTGGAACAGACAAGCAGCTTGGCAAGCAAGGGCAAATAAAAAGTAATATTCCCTTAAAGGCAAATCATCTTTGACAAATTTCGGATGTGAATAATGAAAGGAATTCAGGACACTTAGGTTTAAAATGTCCTCCCATAGGAGAGTATGGACATGGTGTACTGGGCGGCAGAGATAAGAATGAACAGTTTGTGTGGGTGACCAGTCAAGCACTAAGAATAGGTTCGATGTCTTTTAGTGTTACACAATGAGTGAGAATTATTTAATCAAAATCAAAGACAAAAAGAATAACAGAACTTACACATGTGATCTCTGATTAAAGACACCTCTCTGATGCATTCATATCTGCTTATGAGCCCAAACTAAAGGATTAATTAATTCATTTTCAGCATCCCTCGATACATGTTCACAATTATGAAGGGATATGAACAACAAATGAATTTTTTTTCCTTCCAGTTAGTCACATTTAATACTGAGCTGCAGCGGCAGAAAGCAATAAGATGAAATTCTACAGGGAGAAGCAAGATTTTAACTAAGCAATGAAGCAAGGAAATGCATGATCACTAAATCTTATTGGTAAACACATATGGAGAAGGCTGCCATTTCCTTCCCTTCCCAAGATAATACTACAGTATATATTGCATCTACACTGAGCAGCAGACATTAAAGTCAATAGCTCAAAACTCTCCTTTACACCTCCAGTGAAGAAAACGACAGATTCTAGTTGACCCCAATTATCCTGTCATCACCTCGGGCTTGGAGGTGAGACAAGAACAGCGGACTGCTGCCCCACAGGGCCAGAGGGCAGCTCTCTCTGATCTGCCAGACAAAAAGATAGTTCAATACAACAATTACTGCTGATCCCAAAGAAATATGTTAGACCACATGCCCTCTGTCAAAAGATATGATTGTTTTTTTCTCTATCACTTATAAAGGCTCTCTGTATTAAGCCGAGCCCATTTTTTTATGACTGGTTCTTATATCTTTAATCAAATAAAAATGAAATTAACTACATAATAGAATTATGGTAATAATAAGGCTTCTGTGGATCCATTTTTTTTTACCAATATCCAATCACAACTGTCCATGTAGTCATTATGAAATGTTACCTCTCGCTGCACAATATGCAGTGTGGGTATGAAGATGGCACTTGTGTTTCAGCATGTGGCATTTGATGTTGCATGTCTGTGTGCATGCATGGTCACACAGAAGATCTAATCTCGGCTGTGTAACCAAATTCACTTGTGCTTATAAAGGGCACTGCTGTAAGTACAACAGAGATCAAGTTTACTGATGGGGCCCCATTACAAACAGGGTTTATTAGCCTTTAACATGCTTTCTGTGCAGCAAAGAGGGAATATAAGGAGTAAAACTCAATTCATTACAGCGATGAAGGACTTTGTGACAGGGGCCTCTGTGGCAGAATACAGCAGTTATAGTTGATGATGATGATATTGTGTGAAATTGCTTTTTATGTGGCCTCCAGCACTGATTCGCAGTAACAAATCAGATACAATTGTGAATCCCGCAGACTCAGTCGCAAACACACAAAAGGGCTCCATCAGGAGGTTTCAGTGTAATAGTTCAATGCTTCCGCTCTGACATGTTTCGTGCTTCGGTCTAATCCCTCCAGTTGAGTTTCCCCCAAGTCAAACACTGTGAACATGCAGCATCAGGCTCTTCTTGGCTGCATAATCCTTTTTAGGGTGACAGCGGCAGACATACAGCTGGACCACTTTGCCCAAGGATAGATATTAATGACGATGTACATGCTGTGTAGACTTAACCAAATCAGTGAGTCTGATTTTTGACCTTTATTCCCCCCACAGACAATAAAAGCAGCAGCAAGGTGAGTCGGTTTAGATAACAGTACTCAGGGCTTTCATCAGATCATATCAAGAAAAGTCAATATACATGATATAATCATGATGCAAACAAGGCTTAATACCTCCAAGCTAGACAAACAATTAATAATTCATATTCATGTTAGTTTTGAAGGCTGCTCCCGGAGTCATGCTGCCAAAAATGACTGAGCATAGATATCACTGTATCACTGTGAAGGGCTTTCCTCAGATCAGTCTTTTTCTTGTGGACTGGTCAAAGAGGCTGCCTCTGTTTCTTTGTGACCGTCTCTAATCAGACAGGATTGACACTATGATATAAGCCATGATATGAGTGTCATCAAACAATGGTGACACGCTGATTTATGAAGTAAAATGCTGCCAGATATTCAACTTGTTTTTTGCAACCTGTTAACGCAGCGTCTGCCTGCTGTCCTAGTCTTAACAGTTATGTGCACATGAACTGCGGCTCAGCACAGGGACCGTCCAGCATCACACCGCGGCAAATGAACCTGAATACACCACTTCACTGTCTCAAGCATGCAAAGCCACATAGATAACGCCAATCGTGAGACTGAATAGAAATGCAATGTAAGATTTATTTATTTATTTATTTTTTTTTTTTGTGGAGAAGGGTCGAGGCTTTACTTACACAAAAACTCCGAAAAGCAGAACTCGGATGCCAATCTCCAAAGCCAGCTCTCGCACGTTTTTCCTGCGGTCTGGGGGCGACACGTTCATGATTGTGAGATAATCCGTCAAGTGAAATCTAGACAAAGGCGATCCCGGTCAGTTCTGGTGCTTGTTCACTTTGTAATCCACCTCAAAAAAGCGAGCACTTCTTTTTTCTTTCTTTCTTCCAGAAGCGGTGCTCCCTAATCACGCATGCCGCGCGCCTCCATCGCGACTCGGTCACCTGAAGCAGTCTTCTCCTTCTCCTTCTCCTTCTTCTTCTCTTCCTCGCCTGCCTCCGCTGCTCTCCCGTCTGTTTCAAAACCCCCTCGGGCGTTTGTCTTTATTGCAACTCTTGTTGCTGACAGCTGCTCCTCTACCGGGTGAAAGTCTCCTTCTTCCACTCCATCAATTACTTAAACTGGTTTGGAGTTGTGAGAGCTGAAGACATCGGCGGATATGGGGGAACATTAGAGGTGTGGGTTAGTGGTGAGGGGGAAAGTGATGGGAGACAGTAAAGTAAGGAGAGAGAGTGATCGTCTGAGTGTGTGAAGAGTCTGAGTGGGTCTCTCTCTCTCTCTCTCTCCCTCTCTCTCTCTCTCTCTCTCTCCCTCCCTCCCTCTCACACACATACACACACTCTCACATCCCTTGGCTTCACTTTGGAGACTCAGATGACTAGAAGTTTCTGGAACACCACTCAGGACTTCACAGGGGACCGGATGAATAAATTCAGGGCTCCTGTCCAGTAAAGCAATATACTGTGACTGAATGTTTTCTTGTCTCATCTGAAGCCAAGAGACACTGCTCCTGAACGTCTCATAAATAAAAGCAGCACTCATAGTAAATGTGACATACACAAAGCAGAGGGCCACTCCGGTCAGTATGTGTTCACGACCTGAACATTGTCCCAGCGGCTGGAGGCATTAGGCATGAGCTCTCAGCCTGACATGTATTATTACACTGCTTTGCCCGAAGACGGCCAGTTCAGGGGAGCCCTGCTCACTGCTGGCTCCCCCCCCCCATACAGTCCAATCACACCACTATGAAGAATCCAGCACCTCAGGGTCTGTGCAGCTCAGACAGTGACAAAGGAGCAGAGGCAGCAGCACACCTGCGGGCTAGGAAACCTGGCCAGCACTTCATAGACACACATGAATATTTGATGCCTTCTAAAACTGGCCTTCCTGCATTACCTGCCAGTCCAAGATTTGCCTCTGTATGTGTGTGTGTGTATGTGTGCGTAAGAGAGGGAGAGACCATCGTGGAAAAAAAGCTCCTGACCCAAAAACTTGTTTGCCGCCTTTCTAGGTCACAAGCTTGACAAGCTGGAAGCTGACTCTGTAGATGCAATTTAGAAATCGTGCATTCTTGCTGGTTAACAAGGTATCCTGTTTGCTAGGTATGACAAGGATAAATTATTGTAGGGCCCATACACGCACACGCTCAGGTATACAACAGGGGTTTTGAAGTATTCCTTTATTTCATACAGTGGAGTTCTGGGTGATGTGCCTGAAGTCTTTGTCAGCTCCCTAATAAGAACAAAACAAAACAAGAGGAGATGTGAAATGGTGGTAGGTTAGGAGGTGAGATCTTACTTCAAAGCTTTCTGGCAGCCATCAGACTTTTCAGCTATTAGAGAGCGTGGCGTGTTTATTACAAGCTATCAACATGGTTTTACCTTGCAGCATCAGGGTACTCATGATTCAGATGATTCACTGCTTGCCAGACCTTTTTGAGGATCAGCACAGGGCTACACAAACACTCAATTATAGGACAAAAAAATATTACTTTGCTCTCTCCTGTTAACACCATGCTTACTTGTTCTTTGTTGTTGAACATGCAAGAACTACTGTATATAAAAAGGCACATTGTTCCTTTTCATCTCCATTCTTTTATTTTGTTTCATCATTAGATTTTAATATTTTATTTCCTTGACCTACCTCTTGAATTCTTTTTCTTTCCCTGCAGTGGAGACTGTGAGTCACATTTCCCGAGGTTGTGGTTACACTGCAGGGTTAGACATATGGCGAACTCTAAAATAGGTCCTACCTTAATAAATCAAAGTTCAATGCATCGTTACAAAGTGCTCCTAATCACCTCCATGGGTATGGGTGAATGTACTTTCCCCCGCTGAGGAAACTCTGCGACAGAGTGACTCATCATGCTACATAGGAATGGTCCATTGCTCCCTGAGTTCTTAGCTTTATTGGACATCTCTCTTTATTACACTTTGGGCTAGGTTTTATTGGAAAACATCCCTCATTCGTGGTTTATGTACAGAGTTATATCAGTATGTGGGCAGCATTTTTACATGCTGATCAACCTAAGGGGGTGTAAAGTTTGATACTGTTGTATAATGCTGCTACGTCATAACATTCTCCTTTGCTGAACACTGTATCCATGGCTAAAGAAGATGTCTATCTAAAAAAGATGATGTGTTAGAAAATCGAAAATGAAGTTGTAGTACTTTTTTTTACCCCATAAAGGGGAAAGCAACCCATTTTCTGTTTTATTCTTGGAGTTCTGTTATTAGTCTCTAAAAATTTGAAACAGCTCTTGAGCTGGAATTGCCAACTATGAGTCGATCCAAATACTCCCCAAGGTGGAGAGAGACATATTGCACCACTCTGACTGGTTTTGGCATCCTCTATCAACAACAATGTGGCATCCCCCAGTAAAGGAAGTAGTCCTCAGTCAGTTTTGTGATCATCTAACTTCAGATTATGTGGCAAAATCTGACCATGAAATTGTTTCAAAGAGTGGCACAATCAAAGTGTTTTGATGCCAGGCAAATGCTACTGAATGCAAGAGTCATTTTTGCTTCAGTAGCCTATATAGCACACATTTCAGCCATTGTTTTTGGAAAAAGTACCTACCTATTCCTCACATGATCATTCTCTGCCAATACTGTGCACTGTTTCTACAATGTAAAAAAAAGTCATTATTAATTTAAATTGAGATAATGTTATGCAAACAACTCCACCTTTCACTTTTTTCTCACCTAAAAGTCTGTTAAAATGAGCATATGTACTTTTGCTGAACAGATGCCCCTGCAGGTATGAATAACAACTACGGGGTAATGCTAAATGCCGACCTAAATTTTAGAATTTACTTAAAATGTTATCCTATCATAACACAAGCACTACATGGAAAAGTAGAAGCATAAAGTCTGCGAACTGACTCACGTGACCATTATTATTTTGTCCACAGTAATGACCTAAACTTTGCTAATGCAGCCCACATTTGCCAATGTTTGCTAACATTAGCCACTGTAAGCTACTGGACCATGTAAGGCTGTAGCAGCAAAATGTAAGTCATTTGAAACAGATTCTTTATGTTTGTGGCACAAAATGTCACATATGTACAGAAAACATAGTAAGCTATTAAGAGCCACTAAATGTTGGTATGAAGGGCACCTGCTCAGCCTCAGAAAATGCTATGAGGCTCCTCAAACTATTTGTACTAATTTGTAACTAGTACAGAGTAAGAAAAAACAAAATTCTGCTCAACAAAATTACGTTGCTCTAATCTTTCTTTTATTGTTTCCGATCTTTATGTTCTTTTTTCTAATCATTCTTTTTTAATACTGCATAGTTTTATCCCTTGGTGTCTCTAATAACTATTCAAAAGAAACTGTGAGTGATGGATGAACTGCTCACACATCACATAATGCAGGCTTTGACGAGGAGTCAAAAGTAGACATTGCTTTACATAATGGAATCAAAACTTAAAAGGTTGGGGATCGTTGCTCTAATGCTGAGCCACCAAAGTTGTTTTGAAGCAGGCTGACGTTGAGCTGCACCAGCTAATATCAGCCAGACAGTGGCAGAGCCAGAAAATTTTCTGTGGGGTGGCCAGGATGGTTATGTGATCATTTTGGGGTGGCAGTGTCTCACTAGAAAATATAGGGGTATTTAGGGCACCTAAACCACACACCTCCACAATATTTGGAATGCAAGTAATGGTGGAAAAGATCAAATAATATTCAGTGTATCCAACTTTTTTTCTTTTTCCTGCAAGTAAAGAAACAAAGATGCTTACACTATACAAATATATACACAACAAATACATACAACAGACTTTGCAGATTTATACTAGGCTGCTCTTTTTTCACACACCATTGTACAATGTTCGACACTCTAGGATGGCTACCCCTAGACATGAGACGCCAATTTCACTGGTTTCAGTTTATTTTCAAATGTATTAATTTTGATTATCCTTATTGTTTGAAACAATTTTTCATCCCCTGTACATCAAACTATTCATTAAGAAGTTCTGATCATTTACTTTTTCAAGTTCCTTTTGTAACTGAGGAAGTTGGCAAAAAAGCATTCATGTTCCAAGCACCATCCGAGTGGAATAACTTACCTGTAACTATTCGTTCCTTGTCATCATTTTCCTTATTTAAAAAAATTCTGTTCTCTCATCTCAAAACTAATTGTTTTTGTTTTCATTAAAACTCTCGCTGTTTTGTTTTGCCTTGTTTTGCTGCTATTATGTATTTTGATTTTATTTATTTGGTAGATGAAGGTTGTAATATAATATTTTTTTGTTGTCTGTGTTGATGTTGCTTGTTTGTTCTGTTTGGTCTCAGATTGTTTGTCGATGTTTGTTATGTAACCGTTATATTGTATATTTTGTGTGTGAGTTACTGTCAGTCTTTACTTGTTGAATGTTTGTTAGAACCCCCTCGAAAACAAGATGATGCATCTCAAGGGGTTTATCTTACCTTACAATAAAATTTCTATAAATGTAGCACAATATACAGACAACTGTACTGCGTACTGTTTCTATTATATTATTATTATTATTATTATTTTTATTATATTGTTACTACTTCAGCTGGCACTGAAAAAAAGAACACTAACAGTATCCCTCAGTCAAACGGCCGGCAACAAATCAACGCCTCTTGCATTTTTTAAAAGGACACGCCCTCCCGGAAATGTTCGCTCCCCCTTTTCTCGTCCGAGCTTGAAAATGGATGCCGAGAGATTTAACTCCGTTTTATCAAACATGTGCTCAGTCCAAAAGATTGTGGAAATGAACTACTTACAGCGCCGTTGTTTAAAACTTTTAATGCAGTCGGACTATGTTTATGAGCACTAGAGTTCAGCGAGCCACCGAAGGACCGCCCTGCGGATTTACCATTGGTTCTGCAACGTAGGGAGTTTTTTTAAACTCTGAAATTGTATCCGCCCATCTAAACACAAAATCAGGGATCAGGCCAGGGTGGCCAATAGGGTGGCCAGGATTCAGCGTGAGGTGGCCACGGCCACCCCCTGCCACCCCACACCTCCGCCATTGCAGCCAGAGTGTTAAATACCATTTATTTTGGCATCAGGTTCTGTTTTAATCACTGTCTGTGAGTGGAAATTCTAAACCACCCAAAGCAGGGAGGGATCAATACACAATTTCACTATGACTGCACTCACACCAGATTTCCAGAAGTCCAGATTTACTTCCTTAGAACTGCATATATGAAAAGTTTGGTCTGGGAAAAAT